TTTTTCCAACTGAAAATTGATTGAAAATTAGTTGCGATGTAAAACAGAACGTCGCCGCAAAACAGAACGTCTGAACTTTTTTCCTATGCTGCAGATTGAGTGGGAGATGTAGGCTATGTTTGGTTCAAATGAGGGGATGGGAGCGGAGGAATTTTAATGGAAGGGAGGGGAGGGGAGGGGAGGTAAAATGATTTTACCTTGTTTAGAGGGATTTTGTAGGAAGGGAATGAAAGGAAAATAGTTAACCTTGTTTGGTTAAGAAAATGGAGGGGAAAGAAAATAATGTTGAAATGACAGTCATACCTTTAATGATGTAAGAGAGAAAAAATTAAAATATTTTACATATGAAGGACAAAAAAGTAATTTTACAACTTAAAATTTTCCCTCCCCTCCAAATTCCCCCACTTTTGGAGGGGAGCAAATTTGGGGAAGGGGAGGGATTTTAACTTAAAATTTCCCCTCCCCTCCCCTCTTAAATTACAAACCAAACAAAGGAAAATTAAAAAATCCCCTCCCCTTCCCTCCCCTCTCCTCCAAATCCCTTGAACCAAACACTATGGTAAAGAGAACCAATTTGGTTCAGAGAGTGTTGAGTGATGGTCAATTTACAATTCTTGTGGCGAGTAGACGATATGATAACGGCGTCGTATTGGGAAATAAAAATAAGGAGAAAATTGTAAATTTGGTCCCAAAATTTTTTATGTTTCCCACATTTGGTCCTAAGTAGTTTGAGAAGAAAAATCGAACGAAAAAAAAAGCTCACTCCGGGATTCTTGACCTCTCTTATGCTTTCAAATGTCATAGTGTCATGTCGGCTTATGGATCGATATGTTTTCATTGTACAATCGCTCGGATGGCTTTATTTGCACTCGAGGATTTTTGAATTATTGAGAAAGAGGGAATGGCATTGAGGCTTCATCCATTCCTTCCCGCCACTGGAGGAGCAGGTCTTTTTGGTTGATGGCGTAGTAGTAGGTTGCTGCAGTCAACAAGTGAATCAAGAGTGAGAGATCCGTCTAAGAACAATAGAAGATAAAGTTAACAACTACCATCGAATCGGATCTTAGAGAAGTCTCGGCCTTCGTCCACACCTAGGACAGGGAAGAGTCAATTCTTTTTCTACCAGGTCTGTCAAGAGGCTAAGAGTCCCACTACCCGCTGAGCGCGAAGAGTCGTTAACAAGCAAAGCTTTCAGCCGGTCAATACACTGCCACTCTCCTTTTCTATATTCATAGAAGAAAGGTGGACTATATCATCAACTTCACTGAACTTGTCTTCGCCAATACTTATGACTGAACTTCGCTCCAGGCTTTCAGGTAAGATTGCCCCAAATAAGGTATCGTTCGGTGCCCCCGCTCTTGGACTTAAGACTATGCGCGTCGCCGATATAGGCTTCTATGACTTCACTTCGCTTCGAAAAGTTCGTTGGGAGTTCAAGGCCGAGGCTTCTTCCCTCGATCCGATCTTTTGACCGACCGCTGGGCACACTAAAAAGAAAAAGCAGTTCGGTTCGCAGTTACAGGAATTGAGAGAATTCAATTTGACTAAAATAGTTTCATTAGCCCCCGAGATATTATAAAATAAAATGAGTAGACAAGATAACCCCTTTCCACTGGCCTCTTCACCACCTGCATCCACTCGCCGTAGTAGTTCTTTGTTGTCCCACCACCGGTTTATCCGCCGTTTCGTTTTTCTTTGCAATTTCCAGAAGGTCTTCCACTGCAACTATCCCTAGCCCGGGCTATCTCCATCACAGAAGAAAGGATAAAGCTGAATTTCCACAGACTTTATAGTAACAATCAATTCAGCTTAATTTATGAGTGTACCGGATATGGCAATCGGGACTCCGATAGAACTGCTTATATCCGGCTTACGAGCGAGCTTTGGAGTGGGAAGCCAGGGGGAACTCGCACGTGCGGTTCTTAGGGGGGGGCTAGTAGGAGCCATCCCATCCCAATAGCGTATATTTGGAGCTCAATATGAAATTTTATTTTCTTGCAAGACCCGTTCGGATAAGGGAAAACTCCAGAGATTGCTTCGAAGTAAGATCCTTTCTTGAACCAGAACGGGTGAGAGGAGCAACGGATTGAGCAACTAGCGCGAAAGCCGTTGCTTGTTCCTTGCGGAAGTAGGAAAATCCTAATATAATAGTAGTCTTTCTGAGTGTCCTACTTGTTTTGTGATATTTCCACCCCGAAAGGTGGTGCTGCTAGCCAAGGTTATGACTAGCGCGAAAGCCGTTGCGCTAACGCGCATCCGTTTTCTTGCTGGTTCGATGTAATTGACTTTTCTCGCATACCCTGGCTCAGTCTTCGGATAAAGAATAACGTGTGGAAATCTTATGATGGTCAAATCTGAAGAGTCAGACCCTTATTTCATCTTTAAGAGAGATCCGATCTTGAAGACAGCTTAAATCATGCCCGCAGGAAGGCCGTGCCCAAATAAAGAGAAATTTCACTGCAAACCCTCCAGGCTTCAGTGGAACAATCCCCCTGCGGGGGCCGATTTTCTCTATTCCCACCGAAAGAACACCATTGGACACACGATGGTACTCCACCGTATAGTGTACGCGCTTTCTTTTTCTTATTTTATTTTTCTTTTGTTTCTTTGCTTGTGTCTGTGCTTGTTTTCTTTTCTTATTTTCATTTACTTTTTTCGTTTTTTTTTTTCTCGCATGAGCTTGTGTGATTATGTCAATATCCTATGTTTTTTGTCAAGTAATGAGAACATTGCTTGCGATCATGCAAGCTTATGCGGTATTTTTTTCGTTTTAGGTGCTTTATATTTCGTATTTATCACGTCGTGGACCGATTTTTGTTGTTGTTTTTGTGTTTGTGTCGATTTTCCACATGAAGCTTGATGTTTGTTTAAAGCCAAGATGGCTAAGTGGTGAGTTAAGATTGCCGTTCAGTATCATTATTAAATTTCATGCTCTATGTACTTGAGAAATTGGACGGTTTCTTTAAAATTAAATGATAATTTGTTGGCATTGGAACCCGCATTTGAATTCACGAAATTGTTTTGTCTCTTGTTTGTTCTCGATTGGTGATCTTGCAATATTGCCTTGTGTTCGATCGTTGTAATCGAATTATGCTATATACTTGTGATACGTCTTGATTGATTGTTGATGTTAATGTGTTGTATCGTGATGTATCCTTGTGTGTCGCTCCCTTCGAAAAACAAAAACATAATAAATTGTTAGTTCGCGAGGAAGTACGGAATAGACTCCTCTTATTTCGATTCACTTCGTGAATTTCGTTATTCGGTTTAATCTCTTTATTCAACATTAATATCATCAAAGTATGCTAATATACTAAACATATACTACACATAAACATTATATAAACATTGAAAACATATTCGGTTAAGATTATTTGCATGTCGTCGTTGCTCACAAGCAGGGTTTTCGTCGCGTGGCTGAAACTTCACCGAAATCACCGCAACAAGTCTTTATCATCTTTTGGATGAGCCAAGCCAAACACTGCGGCTCAAAAAGGGGATGCCTTTTCGTCTCGCCATGCCGCCGGTGCCCGAGAAGTTAAGTTTCCACCTCTCTCGGCTGAAGCTCGCCGTCCGATGACATCTGCCCTCACAAGCTGGAAGGGACTGCCACATGATCTCAGTTTCTGCCCATCTCCTTCACCGCCAAGTCGAATGCTACCGATGTTCAGCGCCGGATCGATATCGGCCACTTTTTTTGTTGTATTTTATAGGAACGACGAGGAAAGAGAAAAAAAAA